TGAGGTGTGTGCGTGTGTGTAACCAAGACCTGGGAGACGGGAGCGCGATCTGGTTACGGTTACGTCCCGTCGTCCGGCTGGCCCGCACCAAGCCTCCGCGACAAGCGCGGTATGGGGTGGTGGCGCGATCCCCCCTCGTCCCTAGTGAGCCGCCTGAACGGTAGGCAATTTGAGCTACAAAACCCCTGTAAGTACTCACAGTGCAGCCACCCCCACCCCCACCCCCCAATGTCAGCCGGACCTTATACCGCGCCTGCTCCGCGACCCTCCGTCACTAGAGCGTACTCGCGTCGTGCCCGCGCGAGCAGGGGGAGGAGGGAGGCAGTGATAAGGTTCGCCCACTCATTGACGGCCCCCCGGCCTAGGTCTGTGGGGCGACGCGGCGCTCGGCCGACCCTGCTTGGTCACTGACATAGCACGGGCAGCGTGTGGGGGCGAGGCGAGTGGCGCAAAACTGAGATGCTACCGGTGCGCGCGTGGCTGGCGCGGGCCGCGCCGGCCGGGCGGGGAAGTCAGCTCTGGCGCCACTTTTTACCGCTGCTAGGCGCGCAGTGGTCATGTCGATTCGATACACACAACCCGCGTGAGTCGCATGGCGCCGACCATTGGAAGATTCCAACGGATGCCCCCATTGAAGAGGCAATCTGGGTCCCGGCGCCGTTGGCCCGATCCAAACGAAACGGGTTCGCGCGCGCCCCCGACTGCTCGATCGTCTTGCCTGTCCTTTATTCGGTCGGTTCTATGTCTCATTGCTGCAGTGCTGTGCCCCACGTCGCAGTCCGTGATGGGGTCCGTGCACAGGGGGTGGCGTCACAGGGGGTGGCCCCCTGACACCGACCAGATCACCTTATCATATATCCGACCAGAGTCAGAACCAGTCAACAAGTTTCATCAGCCAGATCTGGCCCGAAAGTCACCCCACTTCCCTGTTTTCCGAATCCGTTGCATAACAAGTACTTTTATGGTTCAGCGCAGTACTTTTGGGTTACATGACGCACGTACTGGCCTTGATCAAGCCAGATCTAGCGCCTATCCGGGCTGTTGGCAAGGCAAGTCATAATTATTAAGCGCAGCAGCAAACCTGACTATACTTTTGTTCAGACCGACTGTAACCAAATTATCTACCCGAGACGAGACCCCTCGTTCTACCCCTTACCGAAGTGGTTTCTGCTGTTTTCTGAGCAGCAGTCCCCCGGGGTCCCCGAGGTCCTCCACTTTCAGCCGCCAGCCAACGCAAAGGCCCAGCCGCCGCTCGTCTGCCCCCTCCAGCGCGCCATCCAGGCACACGCGAGTGTCTGTATCTTATCTGCAGCAGGTCAGCTCTGGGGACCGTCGTGTCGGCCCTGGTGGAAAACGCTGCGATGCTGAGATGCCCACGGATCTGAGGGCCCTTGCGGTTGCGGTGCTCGTGCATCGTGCCAGCCTTTGAACCACCCCTTCACAGCTTTGTTTAACCTGGTCTCCGATCCTTTTGAAAGTCTGTGACCAACCCACCTCCGTCGCGGTCGCAGGGGAAGAGAACCGGATTGGTGCTGGATCCGCAAAGAGAAGCCGGAAACCGGTTTCGATGGGTGTCGTTCTACGCCGCACCCGCCAGCGAACGAACGCGACGTCATCTCAAACTTGATACTGTTCAGTTCAGCTGTACATACACCAACACGCGCGTTGTCGTATTCATGAACGTGGGCGCGACGTGGACAGAGACCGATAACTTAAGCCACAGCGAAAATCACTTTGTCACTACTGCCAGTAAATACCACTGACCACCATTTGGTAAGAATCTGATTTCGCCGAAGTCATTCTCCGGACTATACTTGTTTACTGGAAAGCGTCCAAAACCGCTCGAGAGAAGGCGGCGCGTCTGGAAGTAAAGCTATGATGCGGACACTAGCGACCTGGACGGGCTCGGGGTCACCCCGTGCTGACGTCACGGTATGCAGATCCCACTCGAGGAACAGTCCAGATGGAAACAAGGACATTTTGTTGTTTGGCACCTTGGCACGCGATGTTTGTCTCACTTTTACCTGGTGTCGGCGGTCGGTTGATTACGATTATCGTTCTTTGTACCAAGGTGGCTGACTCCCGACGCGCACTTTCGTAGTTACACTGTACCGCCATGCACGCGTGCGGGTGGGTTGCCTAGTGGCACGGGGTCTTAAGGACCCGTATGGGCTGGGCAGGGAGGATATTGGCAAACCCGACCGCACGCGTGCATGCGGTACAGTATCACTGCGAAAGTGGGCGGCGTGAGTCAGCCACCTTGGTATACAAAGAACGATAATCGTAATCAACCTGGTATATTTTATGCCTGTCATGCCGATATCTCGCGCCATATCAGGCCATGTTGTGATCGGCATTGGCGGCGCGACGCGACGGGCTTACTTAATTTTTCAGGGAGCTTTCGCGCAGGCGCGGTATAAGGGGGGAGGGGGCGTCTCTAGTGAGCCGCCTAAAAGGTAGGCAATTTGTACTACAAACCCCTGTATGTAGGCATCCCAAAGTACATCGCCCCCCTGTCGCCCCCTCTTATAGCGCGCCTGCTTTCGCGATAGGTGTGTTTTCTGTTCCCCACCCCACCCCACCAGCACGCCAGCCCAGCCCCGAGTTCAGGGAGGCCAGCCCCCTTCCTTTCCTAGTGTAATCCGACACCTTCGGGCGTGCGCGCCGTGGACGCTTCAGTGTGAAGCACGGGTAAAAGCGGCGGGTGACGTGCTGGCCGCCCAGCTGCCCTATCGCCCCCTTCATCGGCCGTGAACTTGACTCGGACCGAGGTCGGGGTGTACCGTCCCAGCGGTACGGGGCGCCCGGGGGGGCCCGGGTGGGCCGAGCTTGTCTAGGCGACAGGGAGGCGTGTGACGGGCAACCGGACCGGAGGTTCCAGTAAGCCCACGCCATATGTTTACCCTCGTATGGCAAATGGAATTTCACGTAATAGCAGCCGATGTTCACTAGGTCGCACATTGGCGGTTTCGACTATTTCCGACTGTTATTATTTCACGCAGGCTGGCGACCCCCCCCCCTTCCCAATTCCCACAAACCCCCGCGCTCGTGCTCACCTACGGACGATATCCTTCCAGGGGCAAGCCGCTGCCGCCGTCAAGTCCAAGTAGGCCCCCGCCTCGCCTCACTCCGCCCCGCGGTTAGTCGCACCACTCACCCGCTCACTCGGATCACGTCGTCCGGGATGCTCTCGATCTTGTTGCCTCCCAGGTAGAGGTACTTGAGGCTCGGCATGTCGAGAACCTGCGGCGGGAAGTCTGTGAGGTCGTTGCCGGACAGGTTCAGCTCCTTGATGCTGGTGCTGAAGGACTTGGGCAGCGCGTCGTTCCTCAGCCCGTTGTTGCGCGCGATCAGCGATGTGAGGTGACACCTGGCCAGGTACTCGGGCAGCCGCTTCAGGCGGTTGCCACTCACATCCAGGACCCTCAGGTTGTCAAAGCTCTTCACGCACGCAGGCACGGCGAGCAGCCGGTTCTCACTCAGGATGAGGTTCTCGACATTCTCCGCCCGCTTCGGCTCGTCCCGCACGCAGCCCTGTAGGTGTCTGTCGACCTCCTCCGCACCCAAGCCGGCTCTTGACAGGTCCAGTGTCTTGAGGGCGTGCTGCTCGCTGTCGCAGCTGTCGCTGTCCGACGTGGTGAATCCCTCCATGACGGACGGCGGCGCGTTCCTCGCGCTGTGCTCGCCGCGGATACACTGAGACCGGGACCAGGCCGCGTTCTCCCGTGCCGCACTCTGCCTGCCTGTGCCTCGGCGTGGCAAGTCCGGTCCGCGAGGAGCGGGGAGCCGCGCGGCCGCGGGACCGCGGGATGGGGGGAGGAGGAGGGGGGGTTGCAGGGGCCTCCGAGTGTGAGGGGCCTCTGGGGCCAAGGCGCTCGGCTCTCCGAACCATCCGGTCACAGCTTGCCACCGCTCCTCTGGAACACTGTGGGTGTGGGCTGGGCTGCCTCGACTTCATCTGCGGTCGTCCATAGTCGGCCTGCACTCGCGACGTCCTCCGATCACACAAACCCGCGGTGCCGCCCGCGCGACTCAAAGGTATGTGGGACCGGGCGCACGCGCATGCTGACTCCAGCTGAGTCTAGAGTTCGCCCGAGTTCGCCTCTCCCTCCGCTGATTCAGGATTTGGGGGGGGTGGGGGCAATCTGTCCATTCCCTGGCTCAAGACCTAGGCACCCCCTTATACATCGAAGAAAGAAAGGGAAGGAAAGTTCAGAGCAAAGGTTGAGAAAAATGAAAAAGAGCTGAAAAGGGCGAGATACTCGACACTTTGGCCCTTTGATTATGATCATCGCGGCTGATGGTACTTCCCTATTTCCCTCCCTCGGAGTCGGAGGTTCGCCAAAAAATACAAATGCGACAAACAATACGGTATAGTTTATGCGTTGCTCGCTCACCCATTCTTCGTTCACGCACAGCAGAATAGCTTAAAGAAGCTAGGTAACAAAACAGAGCAGGGACAGAGCCTGCCTGCACAACGCTATGATAATATACGCGTTCTTCTATATTTGCCATATTTTCCCCGTAGTGACTGTGAAAGTTCGGCTTGCGCCTCGGTTTGGTTCGGCTTTGAATTCGGGTGGTTCGGGTCTATTCGGGTCGGATCGTGTTCGTGTTCGTTCGTTCAGCTCGGTCGGTACAGCTTGCTTACGCTTGCATTAGAAGGAAAGGAATGCAAATATTTATGGTATGGTAGAACGCACGCAACTGTAATCGCACTTGGCGTTCTCTTGAGCTTTCACTTTTTGCAATATGTAGTGAGATACATTATTACAATCAGACCTGCGGGTCAATCCACCAGTCAATCCATCTTTCATTCTCGTGAAGATTTGATTTCCTCACTGATGAGAAAGTAGCAGACAGGTGAGTTTGCAGCAGAGGTTGATGTACTCGGCCAGTTTCTTGTTTACTAAGTTTGATAACAGGGCTCTTGTCGTGTTCTTAGTATTATCTGGGCTCACGTCTGTTGGCGTTCCAAATCGTTTTGTTTGAAATTCCTGGTAATTTAACCAATGGGCAGAGGTTATTGCCCCACCCCTGCTTAGAAACTTTCTTAAGCTATATTGTCGTATTAAAAGTTAGATTAAATGATGACATTTTATCATGCTAGTTTTACTGCCTATTTTGTCAAGTCTTGAGTGTAATATTTCTTATTTTCCATTGTAATGACAAGTACATCCTAATTGAAGGGCATTAATATTTTCAGACACACCACTCGCACTATGGCGACTGCTCGAGGTCCTGGTCTTTACGAATTCCTCATAGAAGCAGAACTACAGCAATACTATTCTGGCATTAAAAATGACTTAAAGGTTTGTATTCATTTTGCCTCATTTTGTATTGCCCTCAGATGTTCATCTAGACTTATGTTATTAAATTGTTTTCTTGTATTTTAGGTGCAGAATGTCTCTCAACTCAAGTACGTTACAGAAGAGGATCTTCAACAAATTGGCATGACCAAACCAGAAATGAGAAGATTGAAGAAATTCTTTCAACGTCACTTTCCTCAAAATTATATTTCCAAGTTAAAAAAGGTTGGTTCTATATATTATTGCATTTCATATAATTGTCTGAATAAGTTACTTTTATTATTATTTATTATTTCAGATGATTCGCCCTAAAAAGGAAGAGCAATGTAGTATGCAATCCCTTTTACCTGATGACAACCAAGAAAAGCCAGCAATTCGAGTGCCAAATAAACATATCATTCCTGCAGAAGCAATTCTTGTCAATAAAGAACTAGGAGCTGGAGAATTTGGAGTTGTACAGCAAGGAGTTTGGACTAATGACCGAGACAGAGTAGGTTTAAGAACTTGATTTTGTTGAACTATAATCCAATTCAAATGAAAATAACTTTAAATCATTACATTTCTAAATATTTGTCTTTTCTTTAAAGATTCAAGTAGCTATCAAATGCCTCAGTCGAGAGCGTATGCAAAACAACCCAATAGAGTTTCTGAAAGAAGCTGCTATCATGCATGCTATAGACCATGAACATATTGTTAGGCTATACGGAGTTGTATTAGACACTAGTGCTCTAATGCTGGTACGTTGTAAAGTAATTACATATATTAAGGTGCTTTGAACTTTGATAAATATACTGATCCCATCTTACCATATAGGTCACAGAGCTTGCTCCTTTGAGGTCCTTGTTGGAGTGTTTAAAGGAACCATCTCTGCGGGCTAGTTTTCCAGTTCTTTCTTTATGTGACTTTGCAATACAAGTTTGTGATGGTATGCAATATTTGGAAACCAAGAGGCTCATACACAGGTATGTTTTAAAATTCCATGTATATTACAGGTTAAATAGATACTGCTGCAACAAAACAGAAACATTTTTCTTATTGTTACAGAGATTTGGCTGCTCGAAATATCTTGGTGTTTTCCAAAAATAAAGTGAAAATTTCTGACTTTGGGCTTTCTAGAGCCCTTGGAGTTGGGAAAGATTATTACCAAACTAACTTCAATGTCAACCTAAAGTTACCTATTGCTTGGTGTGTGATAAAATTGTTGGATTGACCTTTATCTACCTGTATACTGGAATCGCTGGACATCCTCTGACTTCCCTTTCCTGTTTTAGGTGTGCACCTGAATGTATTAGTTATCTGCGCTTTACATCTGCATCTGATGTATGGGCATATGGAGTCACTTTGTGGGAAATGTTCAGCTATGGATTCCAACCTTGGGCAGCTCTGACTGGTCATCAAATTTTGGAGGCTATTGATGAGCCTAACTTCCAGGTATGTGTAGTTCATGCGTATGATTGCATGCACTGTTTCATTGTATTAAAATATTATTTTTCTTTCTAAAGCGTTTGGAGCAGCCTGAATGCTGTCCCAAAGAATACTTCAGTGTTATGCTACGGTGTTGGCAGCATGATCCAGCAAAGCGACCCAGATTTTGTGATTTGATTGACATACTACCAGAGGTACAATTTTTCTTTCAAAATATAACAGTTTTGAATTAGTCAACTTTATAAATGTGAAACTCAACTTACATATTGTTTGCAAATTTCTCTTTGTACAGTGCAAGCCAGAACAAGTTCAAGTTGTTGATGCACTAGTGGAAGGGCAACTTCGCCGGGAGCAGTTGATATATCGTGTGGCAGATATTATTACTGTGTTGGACAAATCGTAAGTGCACTTGGTTTTCAATCTGTTAGATGAATTTAAAATTACTTATTGCTAAAACCTATGTATCATTTGTTTGTAGACCCCTTCCAAATGTTGTAAATGTTTGGAAGGGTGTGCTTACCAATGGAAAGACAGGATTATTCAATCCAGCTCATACTGTGGCTTACATTGGGAATAATTTGCCTGCTGCAAACAAACCAGGAGATTTTACTCGTGGAGGTAATTAACTTAATCATTTTTTGATTACTCATGTATTAGTGTGTATGTAATCTTTTGCAATTATGTATTTTGCATTTAGATGGCAGAAATACATTTTCATCTAGAAGACGGCTTAGACCAGAGATGATATCAAGGCCCCAAGGAGATCTCCAGCATTGTGGTCATGTTGGTAAAGATGGGGCTTTCTTTGGTGATATCTCATTTCTAGGAGGAAAGGTAAATTTACTTGGATCTAATCTAATCTTTAAATTTTGTCTGATTTGGTTATTTTTATTTCTAACACACCCTCAATCTTTCAGCAATACAGTCAGTTACCTCGTCAAGTAGTAACACCTTATAAGCCTCAAGAGGATGCTGGTTGTGATGCTGCTGATGTTACAGACCGAGCACCTTTGCTCAAAAGTCATGGACACCCTCAAGGAGGTAAAGATTAATGTTTATATTTCAAAAAAAAAAGAAAGAAAGAAAAATCTAACCCCAGTATGGAGCTTACGGCTCTTTGGGATTTAACTTGCTATAAATCTTTTCTTTTGATCCAAACTTTCAAGGCACATATTTAATCAAGTTAATTTGTCATTCTCTAGATGGCAGCTGGTCAGATTTTCCAGATACAGAAGATGTTCCACCCATGTCCAAGCACTTAGCTAAATATTCGCCGCCCAGGATTACTCAGCCATTGCACACACCTGCTCCAAGCAATATGCATTCTTTAATGTATGGTTCTAGCTTGTCATCGTCCCCCCCTGCTTCAAACTTGCATCAAAACAATGTTTCACTGTCGTCCTACGGAAAGCCTGATCAATTAGGCTCTCAACAATCATCTCATGCCTCACCGATTAATGGCATTCAAAATGCATGTCATTATGAGCCTCACATTTCCTCTCACCATGTTCAGAATGGAAATTCCATTCGATCTTTGAATGGAAATCATAATGGAGTTATTAGTGGAACTCATAACGGGCATTTAAATGGTGGTGCTTCTAAGTCTCATGGCTCTGGTAAAAGTCACAATGGCGCACACCAAAGTCAATCTGGGCGCTCTAATATGGATCATGAATATCATGAAATTTCAGATGAAGAGGAAGTTGCTTGTATGGAGGTAACTATCTATCTTTGTGTAATGCACCAAATTTTACAAGTTAAACTTCTAAAATGTTTATTCATTTTTAAAGAAAACGTTCGAGTTAGGCAGTCTCCTGACAGAAATGGAATCAGCCTTTCCGTCTCTTGGAACTTCACCTCTTCCTCCCGCATCTCAACCTCCTCCCTCACCTCTAGATGAAGACATAAATTTGCGCAATGAACAGCGCGAACTAGCAGCTAGGTGGACTGGTGTGCGAAAAAAGCAGGCCACGGTACGTATGATAGGTGTTTTGACACAGAGGCAGGTGGGCGGCAGTTGCAGTGCTTTGAAGGAATTATGGATTCTGCAGCTCAAGCATCCATTCTCAACTATCAATCCGAGGTTTATGGGCGGGACACTACTTTTTACATCTGGAAAACTGCGTATTTCATCGGGGAAACTTCGTTTTGCTGCCAGTAGACTTTGTTTTTCAAGCAGAAGACAGCGGTTTGGAGTTGAAAAAAAGTCAAGTCGAAATGTACGGGTAAGTTCCTTATCAGCACCTGCCCTCTGCCCAGCCTCCTCTGCACCACTTTCACATAAAAGTATAGGCTCTTATAAATAT